GTGTTTTTAAAAGCAGGCATTCTTTAGGGCGGCGCCGGATGCACGGGGGATAATTCCACCGAACGTCCATACCATGGTTCCTTTCCTCGCGGTTTATATAGATCAGAATATAAATATTCATTTGGTTACGTAACCCATTCCTTTCATAGTAAAATTAGTTCATTTCCATATGTCCCTCCTGTCCACGCTTGCGCAGTGCCACCTCGTGGTGGTCGTTGGGGGTCTTGGGCTGAAGGCTCCTCCTCTTCATCACGGTGTCCGCTGATTGAACCCTGTCTCCGCGCAAGCTCAGTCCTTTTCTGGCTCTTGTCCCTGCAGCAAGGTCGTCTTGACCGGTTCTAGGCGACTCCTAGTTTTAATTAAAACTAACTTCTTTGGTGGGAGATGTAAGACTCTCTGCTTCAGTTCATTTACACAATAGATGGGTACCACAAATGCACCTGCAACCATTAGGTAATGCTATTTCTATTAAAAATCCCCCTCCACCACTATTGTTTAACATTAATGATTACCTAGGGACTAGACCCTCTGCTCCCAGACCTAATATCCAGATGGGTAGGGCTGTACAAGGGACATAACTAGCAGCATTGTTCATGTTTATGGTTAATGGATTCCATCACCTTGGTTACATCCGGTCCCACAAACTCACTCACTCCGTCTCTCTTAGATTCACCTACATAAACACACAGACGTGGCCAATTCTGCTCATCCACTGCACCAGAGCGTATATTCCTTATTTATATGCTTTGTGTGATTTCTGAATTTGCCATGGGGAGTTCCCAGCTCCCTTGTGCCCCTTATGTGTGTCTGAGCAGGACTGCAGAAGAGGGACTGATGACATTTTGTATCAAGCTTTTATATCGGGAAAAACACTGCAGTCTCCTAAAGCTTACGCCGTGCAGCCCAGGCGTGTAACTGCCGGCCGCCCTCCAACTAACACAGGAAATGCAAAAGTTCTTTTCTTGTTTTGCACTTTTTAGTTTTGGTTTAAAAATCGGCGGGCCAAGTGGCGGCATC